GATTGGCAGACCAGGGGTGGCATCATAGTTGCCGGCCACTGACACATGTGCAAAGACTTAGAGTCGTGCAGTTACAATATGAAAACCGCAAGGTACGATAGCGCATGCGTTGGGGACATAAAATTATATAGTGAAATTAAAGATACCGTAGGAAGCCCCCAAATGCCCACAGGACAAATAATGGGAAAATCTCAATGCCTTGAAACCTCCCCATATGATTGTAATTGTCAGTCCCATATAGGTCAAACGGTAATAAACTCACCATACCCAGGGTAGAATGATACAAGGGTACCCACCTTAATGGGAAAAGGGTGATGCCACAAAATACAGGGCATAGTCTAATGGTTAAATGATGCCACAAAGTGGGACAATGAGGAGGGGATTAATGAGGGAGGGGGAGAGAAAAATCCTATTTATTTCTTAGAGTGACCAGCCTGTGTCTCTCACGAAGAATAGTGGTCCTATCAAGGATCCAGAGAAAGATTGAACTCAAAACTTGTCCATTCTATAGGACATGAGAGAAAGAGGCAAGTTGAATCAATGTCAGGACGGAAATATGCAAGTATAGGCCCAGTATAAATAAGATTAAGTTAAAAAGCAAGTGAATACAGCACTAACGAGCGAAATGCCCAACATTTGGATATCACCAAAAAAGTGGGATTCCTTAATAAACTATGAGGATGGACATATATTGATATATGTGCCATAAAGGAAAACCAAAGAACTATATACAAATATACATATATTCATAAGTAATAATCAGAATGCCACCCATTACAAACTGGAGGAGACATCAGACTACTGTACTAAGAACCACAGGAGGGGCAAAGATATAGTCTAAGACTGGACTTGCAGAGTCCACTCAGTGTAAATTAAATGAAAGGCACAAACGAAAAACCCTCATTCAAGCCTAAAGACTGAAGGGTTTTCAGCTAATAGATCCATTTGGACTCTCTTTGTCTAACGTTCCTATCATCGTTGTTCCACGTCGTTGATCCCTCTTCACTAGTTCTAGACCACAGAATTTTAAGTTTATGGGGTCACTGCCGTGCATTTCCTTGAGGTGTCTGGAGATTGGTGTGTCAAGACGGTTTCTTGGTGTCCTGACATGCTCCTTCATCCTTTCCTTAAATGCACGGAAAGTCTTTCCCACGTATTTACGACCACAACTACATATTAGAAGGTAGACCAAGCCCATAGTATTACAATTGTCGGTACTGTCGGTAACCATTTTAGAATCCTTTTGGATATACCTGTACATCACGCATCTGCCACAGGCATAAGTACCACATGGAGGAGTCCCCAACCATGTAGTTCGAGTGTGTGATTTCACAGAAAAATGGATCGGTACCAAAATATCTCGCATGTTCCGGCCCCTTCTGGCTGTAATGTCCACCCGTGACCCTAGTACCTCCTTCAAGTGGACATCATTCAACAGAATTGGCCAGAATCTATCTAAGGAGCTCCTAACTTGGTGCTAACCTGTATCAAAGGTGGAGATCACGTGGATCTTATTGGTCTCTTTGTTAGCTGAGGTAATGGGACGATCTACAAGAAGGTAATTTCTGTCTGTGTCGAGGGCCCTTTTATAAGCCCTATTTAGGCATCTATTAGGATAACCTTTTTCCCGGAACTGTGGCCTGAGATGTTGTGCCTTAATTTTAAAGTCAGCAAGGTTGCTACAGTTCAATCGAAGGTGTAGATATTGCCCTACCGGGATGCCCTGTTTAAGGGTTCTTGGGTGATGACTTGCTCATTGTAGTAGGGAGTTTGAAGCCATGGGTTTCCTAAATAGTGTCGAATGGAAGGTGCTCTTATCATTGATTGAAAGAGTGACGTCTAAAAAGTTAAGGGAACGACCCCCAAATTCATACATAAATCGCAGATTTTCATTGTGGATGTTAAATAATGTTACAAGCTCAGAGAATTCCTGCTGGGTTCCCTGCCATACAATTATAATGTCGCCTATGTAACGAAGCCACCAGAGGATCTTGGGTAAAAATACTTTCAAGCGATCCAAAGATTTTATCTGGGGCTCCCACCACCTGGGGGGAGGTTCGCATATGAGGGGGCACAGGCCGTCCCCATTGCAGTCCCTCTCACCTGGTGGTAGAATCTGTTGTTAAACAAGAAGTAATTGTGTGATAATATGAAACCCAGGAGACGTATCGTAAAAAGCATGTGGGCCTCGTCATTAGGTCCCCTCTGGTCAAGGAAAAACTTGACATGTTCCATACATCTAATATGTGGGATGGACGAGTAAAGGGACTCCACGTCTACATAGACTGGCTGTCAGCGGGAATTTCAGACTTGCAAGTAGCTTTAGGGCCTGTTTAGTATCCCTAATGTACGAGGGCAAAGTCTCCACATATGGTCTCAGGATTCTGTCGATATACATGCTACCGTTTTGTGTCAGGTTGTCCACTCCCGACACAATTGGGCGTCCCGGTGGATCCTCCAGGTTCTTGTGAACCTTGGGCAGGAAGTAGAGGGTTGCTATCCTAGGGTGACGATTCAGAATAAATTCGTACTCGTCCCCAGACAGCAACCCTCCACTGCGGCCTTCATCCAGGATCTCCTTATATTTCGACAGGAAATCGATGGTAGGATCTGATTTTAAGACCCTATAGGTCTCCGTATCACCCAGAACACGTTCCACCATATTAAGGTATCTTGCAACATCCATTACAACCACATTACCCCCTTTGTCCGCTGGTTTTATGATTATACTAGTATCATTTTGTAGTGATTTTCAGGCTTGTTGTTCACTCACAGGGAGGTTGTCATTCGGGTGGATACTCAAAGATCTTTAGTTTTTTTTTTCCTATTTCATTTTTTGTCACTTCTAGGAACAATTCAATATTTCTATAGGCGGCGAAATTTGGCGTGAAACAAGTTTTGCGTTTAAGTTCTGTGCGATTTCGGGAGACTTCTGGATCACTCTTGTCAAGGAGGGACAAAATAGTGTTCAGACACTGATAGTCTTTTGAAGTAAGGCCAAGATCTTTTCCCTCTTCTCTATCCGCAGACTATGGAACTTATGTAGGGCCAGTTTTCGTGCGAAAAGATGTAAGTCTTTAATCCACCCGAACTTGTCAAAAGGTGGGGTTGGCACGAAAGAAAGGCCCCTTTCCAGAACCCTCAGGTGATCCTGGTCTAAAATTTGAGAGGATAAGTTGACGACTTGTGGTTTCGATATTGTGAGTCTTTGTTCAGTAGTGTTAACTAGTGCCTCCTAGTAACAAATGACGCATTTGTCCTTCCTAACTGAGGTCCTTTTCCTTCATTTTCATCTGTAAATACTGAACAAAAATATTAATTGAGCCGTCAGCTAGACCTTTATCTTTTTCTACATACCTTCTCTCTTTTGTTTTTAATCTAACTAATCCTTGTTTTACTTTCCTTTTCTCATTTATGTATCTAAAAATGTTTTGTTCCCTTTTTTACTGACTGTGCTATTTTCTCTTCTGTGTGTGATTTGCAAACTCTTATAACTTGCTTAGCCTCTGCCTAATCTTATAGATCTGTATCTTCCTCACTCTGTTTTTTTTTTTTTTTTTATAATTACTAAATGCTAACTTTTTGTTTTTTACTATTTTGGCCACATCTGCAGAGTACCACAGTGGTTTCTTGAATTTTTTGCTTTTACTGGCAAGCAAGTGCTTTGTTTCCCTCGCATCCGGGGGAGCAGCAAGAGGTGGCCAGCTGACTCGTAGTGTAGATGGGCGGTGAGGGAGTGCAGTCCCTTGAGCTCTTCCTGCTCCCTTGCGCCCTTCTATGATGCAAGGAGCCGGAATATATCATCACTCCGGCCTTTGCGGTGCACAAAGGATCAGAGCAGGAAGAGTTCAGTTCCCTCACCACCTCTATTAAGCGCGCGCCTGCCCGCCCACCCAGCCAGCCGAGCCGGCAGAAGCTAGCAGCCCCAGGAGTCTGTCCGCCCAACCAGCAGCCCCAGCAAGGAGCCCAGCAATGGTGAGTTTATGAGAGTGTGTGTCTGTCAGTGAGTATGTCTGTGTCTATCAGTAAGTATGTCTGTCAGTGAGTGTGTCTGTGCGTGTGTCTGTCTGTGAGTGTGTGCGTCTGTGAGTGTGTCTGTCAGTGAGTATGTCTTTGTTGATCACTGTGTCTGTCAGTGAGTATGTCTGTGTTGATCACTGTGTCTGTCTGTCAGTGAGTGTGTGTGTGTCTGTCATGGAGTGTGTGTGTGTGTAGCTGTCAGTGTGTGTCTGAGTGAATGTGTGTGCCTGTCAGAGTGTGTTAAATTAGCGAGGATGTTTGTCTCAGTGTGTGTCTTTCAGTGAGTGCATGTCAGTGTATTTGTATTGGAGAGTGTGTGCCTGTCAGTGAGTTGGTGTGTCAGTGTGTGTGTCTGTCAGTGAAAGTGTGGGTTGTTTAAACAGTGTGTGTGCCAATGACTGTATCTGTCAGTGAGTGTATGTCAGTATATGTGTCAATGAGGGCATGCGTCTGTCAGTCTTGACACGAAGCGTGGCCTTGACACAAAGTGGTGGTGCAAATTTAGATTGGGGGGGTGTCGGAATTTAGTCATGCCTAGGGCAGCACAAATCCAAGATACACCACTGAATTGCATAGGAATGTGAAAGGCAACAGATGGTTTACCATATGCATTGACCCTTTTCAAAATCTCTTTTAGATGTGAGAAGTCACACATAAGTGGCCTGGAAGTCTGGTTTACATATAAACTAATTCTCTAATGTGCCATATGTCTAGGTTCCCTCTTAGATAGGGGTTCTTTGATGTGTTAATGGCCATAAGCCTTGTTCCAGTATCATATCCAAAAGAAGGAAAACAAAATTATATTTATTTACAGAATAATAATTAAGCCTCATTTCTGTTATGTTTGGAATGTGACAAGCACAGTCTTTTAAACAAGCCCAAACATAAAGGGCATTACTTGACCTTAGGAGAAGGGATTGTGATGGCCGCTATACTGGGTCGCAAGTAAGGAGTGTGACATATCTATGGAATGAAAAATAATACATTTGTAGATGCAATTATTATTTCTGTGGCAGATACATAAGAGAAGATAGAACCAAATGTTTCCATTTTGATTGATATGGGTATGGACACTCTTAGTGCCACAAGGTATATCTCTAATGATACTGAAGTGTGCATTGTACTTGCTTGGGGACAAAATCTAATTTTGAGTAAGTCACCATCTTGCTTGCCAGAGACCTCCTGTGCAGAAGTTTTACTTTGAAAACCTAAGTGAGTAAGTGTTTAGGACTTCTGTTATGTTATCCCTTTTGTTTTTTATCTGTTGCTATAAAGAATGTTGATTGTCATCTATATTTTTGTATGCACTGTGACTATTTTTGTGCTCATAATAAATATTCCTTTCTTAAGTTCTGCCTTTGTCTGGTAAAGAATCATGTTACCTGAAGAGACTTATTAGTATTTTTGCAATTCCTTTAATATTGGGCTAAGTTGTATTTGGTGGGTTTTTATTATTTTATAAATTTTCTTAGTGGTGGCTGCTTTAAAATAGTAATAGTTATATTATTATGCTTGGTGGGTGGTGTGAAGTGGGATATTATCATTATCATTTCCGGTCTAGTGCAGACAAATAGTGAAATGTACAGACACAGTAGCAAAACGTGACCGAAAGACCTTAACAAGACACCCCCACACAACAAGACTGACTGGCGACACTACAAGAATGATGCAACCCTACACAGCGCCACAAGAAACTCAACCCTCAATAGACCCATAGACAGCCAAGACACAGAGTGGGGCAACACCGCAGACAGCACAGGAAGGAAAAACACGCACGGGAGACATAGGACCAAAAGTTGGCCACGCCACATACACACACACCTAACCGAAGCCCTTAAAACCAGACACAAAGGGGAACACCCATCAGAACACGTACAGTGACAAACGCAGTGCACAAATAGACGCACACGACCATGAAACACAAACTACACAAAGCAACGGATATACAGACGCACAGGTAGCTTGCAAGCACAGGCACCAGAACAAAACAGTACAAGATTAAGCACCAGATATATGCCCCACTGAGGAATCACAAATAGGAAGCTAACAGACCGAATGCTACCAGCGGAGAAGCAGGATACAACGAGTATGCAGCTACGGCACACCTGGTTTAGACATGACGCAGCACATAAGCAAAAGGTCACGGGGCCCACAGGCAAAAATAAATAAAAATTTAACATGCACAGGGCAGAAACACTCAAAACAATATTCACAGGTGCAACCATAATATAGTTACACTACAAGTCTTACAGATGTAAAATGCGAGTAACTAATTATGCATATATCTGCTGTATCATGCATGCAATGACCAACCAGCCTCTGTGTAGGCGACGGAACGCAAACAAATGTATGTAATGCAACCTTGCGCCCCTGCGTGGGCAACCTTTACTTCACTACTCACAAAGACGCTACCTGCACATGTGTTATGACAACAATAAAAATATTCAAAACAAATAGTGAAATGTAACCCTTTCACCACCACAACTACGTCATGCACACTCTTGAAGTAGGGTGCGTTCGTGACACCCTTAATTAATAATTTTTCCATATGAATTTCTTATTTTCCAAAAGATGCAATTAAATAAAATTATCATATACAAAACCACACATACCTCCTCTAATTCTCTAATTTGATCGTAATTAATTGGTTCATGGTCCAACATGTTATTGTATTAAAACATCCAAATTAGAAACTACAGGGAAAAAAAGCAACAAGTAGGACGATCCCAGTTACAAGAAACAGACCAGATCTATGTCTACATTCAGTCCCTTAGGATCCCGTGTTTAAAGTTTGTGAATCCAGTAGGTTTCATGTTTGGCCAATTTCTTAACACTATCACCTCCTATCCAATGTGGCATCACCCTTTTAATGCCAATACATTTGACATATTTGAAAGAGAAATGAGGACAGGAACTACAATGAACCGGGACTGAATGTGTCATGAAACCTTTTTTTAATATTATTTAGATGTTCCAAAACTCTCACTTTTATAATTCTTTTTGTGCGGCCAATATATTGTTTACCACATGGACACTGTAACAGATACACCACTAAGTCCGTTGCGGCACCCGACACTAGACTTGGTCTTAAAGGTTTCACCTATTGTAGAACTGACAAAATGGTCCGTCCTATCTAGAAGAATGGTAGAACAAGCTTTACATGAGTGACAACCCCAAAATATCCCAGTATTTGCAATGGGACTGCTAGTATTGGTTTTAATGGCATAACTAGGTGCCAGTATATTCTTAAGATTCCGATTTTTTTTGTAAATGAGTGTGGGATGTTCTGGTAAAGAGGCTCCCAAAACTGGATCCTCCATTTTATTGCAGGCTGGGGGATGAGACGTGTGTGTGTGGGGGGGGGAACACGAGGCAATTTTCGCACCCGGGCCCTGTGGTTTCTAGTTACGGCTCTGGTTTGATGTGTGCAGTGAATGTAGTGTGCTTAGTGGATGCAGCGTGTGTGTAGTGGATGCGGTGTGTAGTGCATGTAATGTATGTAGAGGACTGTGATCAGGGGGTGATCAGATTTTTAAAAATGTATAATTAAATTTATTCTCCACTCTCTGCCTCTTACCTGTGACCAGGGAGGTGAAATGCTAATTTCCCTGGTGGTCCAGTGGCACATTATGTTTTATGAAGAGTGGCATTATAAAGAGGGGGCCCATAAGTCTGCCTCTCCTGCAGATTCATGTCCTCTCCTCTTGCAAGCCGCGGGAGAGTTGCTGCCCTGAGCGGCACGTAATGCATGATGGATTGTTACTGTGGTAAATCAGGCAACGCTCTGACAGTATGTGAGAGGAGAAGATATGAAGCTGAAGGAGGGGAAGAACAGACTTCTGGGCCCTCTCTCCACAGGACAAGGTAGCGATATATGGGTATAACCAAAAATGTTATGGTGGGGAAAAAAATTGTGATTGAGAATTCCTTCCACCTGAAGTCTGTGGATAGTTAATACAATGTTAAACAAAAATCTGCACACCGGTCAAGGCATGAGACTTGCTTTTCCCACAGAAATCACAAGTTTACAGTGATGTTACTACTGCAAAGTATTCTGGGTGGGCATATGCAAAATAGTTCAACAAAGAATCACATTTTCGCCTCATTCAATTTTAAACATGGATTCCTTTGAGTCTGTGTTTGCTGTATATAACAGCTTTGAAACACAACTTAGGAATAGGTGCAAAGCCAGTGAACCACTCGTATACTGCAAACACAGAGTCAAAAGAATCCATGTTTAAAATGGAATGAGGCAAAAAAATTATTTTTTAAACTAATTTGCATATCCCTACCAAGAATCCTTTGCAGTAGTAACATCACTGCAAACTTGTGATTTCTGTGGGAAAAGCAAGTCTTATAGCTTGACTGGTGTGCAGATTTTTGTTTATATATATAGCGGTAATAGCATATGTGGCCCAGGCCCCACAGTGGTCACCTTAAACTATACAGGTAAAAGTGCTGCCTGAAGCCATGGTGCCACTGGGGCCTTGCCTCTAGTGGCATTCACTCAGATGGCCACTGGAGGTGCTTTCTGGGTCAATGTGCAGCACTGACGTTCAGAGTCTCCAAGCCCTGCATGGAGGTGCTGAACGTTCCTTACAGAGATGCATTGATTCAATTAATCTCTGAAGAGATAGACGTTTTGCCATGCATGTGCAAAAGCCACCCAATGTTTTATTATGGAAAAGCATTGAATTGTCTGAGAACATCAGAAGGCAGAGCGATCAGCATAGCCTGGGAAAAAGGTGACTTAAAACAGAAAATCTATACCATACTCACTGATATTTTCTTTTCCGGGATATAGGCCATGGCAGCACTACGGATGGGTATAGCTCCTCCCCTCTTAAATTGGACAGGAACCAGCTCCTAATTAAATAATAAAAGAGACTTTCTCTCCTGTCTCTTCAGTCTTAGTTTAAAGCCACAAACCCAATTTTTTTTTTTAGAAAGGGTGGGACCGTAGTGCTGCCATGGTCTATATGCGGGAAAGGAAAATATCGGTGAGTATGGTGTACATTTTCTGTTTTCCCCAAATATATCCATGGCAGCATAACGGATGCGTTATACCCAAGCCGAAAGGGGGGGGGGGAAATAACCAAACCAAAAAACGCCAAAGTCAATGCAAACCAAAATCCTTTATTTACAAAGGCAGCGGAAAGGACACTTCTACAAAATTCCATGGTAGAGGACCTGACTACGTCCAGCTGATAGTGATGAATAAATGTGTTAAATGAGGACCGTGTTGCTGCTGAACAAATGCGGTCCAGAGCAATGTTGGCTGCAGCTGCCCATAAAAAGGGCCAATGATCTGGTGGAATGAGCTCGAAGACCTGATGGAATTGGAACACCGGAAGCTGTGTAAGCTTGAGTAATGGCTGAGATTATCCATCGGCCAATAGAATTAGAAGAGGCAGCTTGACCCCTCTTGTATAGTGAAGGAATGATGAACAAATTAGAAGATTTCATTATTTCAGAAGTACGGTTCAGGTAAGCAGACAGACAAACAACGAACCAGATCCAGACAGACAATTTATTTTCTTCTTCAGATGGGGGATTAGGAAAACAAAAGCTGGCAAGATGATGTCCTGATTCATATGGAAAGAGGATAATACTTTAGGATGGAATTCTGGAACCGTACGAAGAATCACTCTGTCTTCTTGCAGAATTAGAAAGGGGAATTCGCAGGAAAGTGATCCGAAAGCTCTGAAATTCTTCTACCTAAAGTCAGTTCCATCAGAAGAACGGTTTTCATTGTTAATGTCAGCAGGGAAATATTATATAAAGGTTCAAATTGAGTACCAGACAAGGCCTGCAAAACCAGAGGCAAGTACCAAGAAGGGGAGCAAGACCTCGAAGGAGGGCGGAGCTTAAGGATGTCTTGAAGAAGCCTTCCCACATCAGGATCAAATGCCAATTTCTGATCCAACAGAGCAGAAAGAGCTGAAATCGGTACTTTCAAGGAACTGAGGCCCAGACCTTTATCAAATCCATCTTGCAAGAATTGCAGAACATCACTGATACTGGGTGACAGAGGAGAAATTTCATGGACCATACACAAGCTACAGAAGATGGCCCATATCCGATAGTTAACTGAAGTAGATTTCTTTCTAGCGTGAAGCAGGGTACTGATTACCGAGGTAGGGAAATCTTTACCGGAGAGGCGTTGCCTTTCTTTTTCCATGCCATCAAATTTAAAGACTGGTACTTGCTGCAGAAGATGATGATGGTCTGAGAGATATAGAGGGAG